TAAAACATATGCAAATTTCACCACAGTCTTGTCAATATTTCCATTTTTAAATGGTAGAGAATGTGAAATGTGACATTTCACTGTTGATCTGTTTTTCCTCTCAGAATGGAAGGTCCTTTTTCATGAGATGGCTCCTCTGGATATTTGCTCCCCAAAATGCTTGCCTCCACCTGTGCCTGCCCCCTTCACCCTGAGCATGGGTGGGTGGGAGCTTGGAATTCTGCCAGCTCGGAGAGGCGCTAGAGAGGAGCTGCTGGGTCAGACACTGTTCCACTGCCAGCTGAGAATGGGCCGCAGCAGGCTCCTCAGCGACGTTGAGGCCAGACGCCCTGGTCATTTGGCGCCAGGACAATTCCTCATCCAGGCTCCCGGCTTCCTGGGACACTGTGGTTGCCTTGCTGGAATTTTCAGGGGGCCAGGGGCGGATGGGGGGACTGGGACTGGAAAAGAGAAAACTCGGTTCACTCAAGGTTGTTCTCCTGGATCCACCAGGAGACAGATAATGGTTCGCTTTTCTTCCCTACAGGCTGTTTGAAATGTATGACAAGGGCTTTGTAGTTTGTGTTTTGGGGGACAAAGCCCCAGTCACCTCCCCCCGACCCCGCCGTGGTCCATAAGGCCCCACCTCATCTCAGGACCCGTGGCGGAGCATCTTCCTCTTCACCCAAGATCCTGAGGGCAGGTGCTGGAAAACGGGCGGTCCTCCTACCTTTTGGTGATTGCATGTGGTGGTCATAGCTGAGGCTCACCAGCCCACTGGCTTAGCCTGAGATCTGCTTCAGGACTGGCCTGGCCTCGGGGACCTGCACATAGGGCGCAAGGACCAGTCTCTAACCAAACCAGGCTCCTAGCACTAGGCGCCTTCCACCCCAGAGCTCCTGAACCCAGTGCGCAGCCACGTGGGCCAGGGGCTGGCTGGGGGTCGCCGGGTCCCACGAGGTACTGGGGACGCATCTGCGCCAGATGCACAGTGTTCTCCAGAGTCCTGGAGCGGGCGCAGCGCTTCACCCCAAGGCTAAACGTGTCCGGCCAAGAGCCCGAAAGTGTGGCGGCGCTGGGAAGTAAGATGGGGGAGGATGTGAGACACATTTGTCAGCAGCTCCTGCTTCTCCGGCCGGGACTGGGGAGCCGCCTCTAGCTCAGCTCGCAGGAATCCGGGATCCTTCCAGAGGCCCGACGGGCCGGGCGCACGACGACGGCCACCGCCCGCAGCTGCAGCACGCGAGGGCCAGCTCGGAGG